CAGACTCAGAATTGAACCGACAAAAACACTACCATAATATCGAGCAAAAGAAAGACATACAGAAAAATACAATGATTGTATCCGCCTAAATCATACAATAAAATATTGATAAAAATGTGAGCAAAAATAAAAATAAAGATTTTAATCCACTTCAACATTCTCCTCGTCATCATGAGTACTCTTCTATGAGTCGCCTTCAATTTCTCTGCTTTTCGGGCCAAAAGAGAGAATGGTTGGCTCTTGGATCAAAGACATCTCTTCAAGGATTGTAGCCTCCTATTATTCTCTTAAATGGCCAACTTTCTCACTTGGAAAGCCTGCAATATCTTTATTCTTTGATCTAGGTTAGCTTGCATCATCTTCAATTCTAGCGAGCATCAATCAGTTCGGTGTTGCCAAGGAAGGAAAATTGTCATGTAGGATAAGTCATCTCGACACTTTGCTAACTAATCCGCCAACGATGTGTCAATCGAATAAAAGTTTATGATAATCTTGTAGTCTCAAAAGATGCGGTCGATCTTTGCAAGCTTGATCTTCCATGCCCTCGAAGAAAGGGTCAGTGCATCTTTAAATGGTGTTGCACCGTCGATCTAGCAAACATCTCTCACTCTTACACCCGTCAACCATCATCGGCTACTGCCCACTCTTTATAGTGAAATACTACACGAAGCAACAACCAACGCCATGGAATTATAAGGCAACCAATGAAGTCTCACATCATCTTGAACTTTATGTTGATCTCGATGATGGTGCAACAATCCACCTCACATATGGTACAACAACACACCCAGATTACGGTGTAAGAACGCACCCCACATATGGTACAACAACTCTTCCTAAGGAAACATAACAATGTACCATGAAGGTGGTGAAATTATCTAGAATTATAAAGCCTTATCCTTACAGCTCACCGCTACAACCTATGTGATCAATTGCGACCAACGTGGCTTGCGGGTCGTGCAGCTCCTAAATTCTGCCTCTTCGATCTACAGATGTCATACAACTCACAACAAAGACCAATGTATCCAACTTTGACCTACTTAGCACAATGCTCATGCAGCTTTCGACTCCAACTCTTATGGCCTACTAACGTCTTGATAACTCACCACTACGACCTATGTGACCAAATACAACCTATGTGGCTCACAAATCGTGCAACTCTCAACTTCGGCCCCTACGACCCACAGACGTCATCACAACTCACCACTATGACATGTGTGATCAACTTTAGCTTACGTGACTCACAGCTCCTGCAACTTCCTACTACATCCTCTATGGTCAACCAATGTTCTTGAAGTAACCATTTGCTACCATGAATTTCAACTACAATATATACGACAAGTTGATACTACAACAGTCAACAACATTCCCCGGGGAGGGGGGGAAGGGGGTGGAGGAGGGGAGGGGGGCACTACCTCCATGACAATTGACTCAGGTCGCTGCAGGCTGCTATCACTAAGAACTACATTTATTATAACTAGATGACATCTATTATTGATAAACTAATGTTGTACATTTATAATGATCATCTTTATAACTCCATCTTCCGTAAATTCAAGAGAAGAGTGTGCATATGTACTCACTATTTATACTGCATTATTTCAATTGGGATAAGCCTCATGATTTTTTCCTCTTTCTAGGGTTTTCCACTTAAAAATCGAGATTTCTCCTCCTACGTATTTCTCTTTAATTACTTAATGTGTGCTAGATTTTCTATAATGCTGAGATGATAATTCATTACTCTAACGCCACATACCTCTCGACTTGAATCAATTAACAAATTTGACAATCCTAAAGAAGCAAAAAAAAAAAGGTTTAAAAGCCAACCAACTCAATCGATTTAAAGCCCTCGAACCCCCTCCTCCCCTACAATGTTACACGCAATGCCGACAGCCAAAAAATATAAGCAGTGCGGAATTGAGCCGAATTAGAAGATAAACTTGACTTAATGTTTAAAGGGGTTGTCGCGATGGGAAAACATGCATTCAACCCATGTGAGTTGGAGTTTGCAAACATACCAGATGACTTGCCACCTGAGCAGGTTATATCTGACGAAGAAGGGTCTAGTGTTAAATAGAAGGAGATGGATGAGTCTAGTTCCCTGTCAAAGCGGACCAGGCTTGGTAGGAGGAGGAAAGATAAGGACATCTTCGTGAAAAGCTAATTCGATAAACTGATTGATGCTTTTCCAGCTATGTCACCTGCTGCTCCATCTGACAACACTACCATAGATTGAATTGAAGCTTTGGATGTTATTCCAAAAGTGGTTGTTGGTATACACTTTCATGCAAAATGTACAAAAAAAACTTGAGGGTCGGTTCAATTTCGCATTTTCTGTTTTTGTGGGTATGTGAGGTCAGTGATGAATGATGAAAAATATGACCTTATGAGTTCTTTTGGATAGTCAGTTCATTTTTGTTATCTATTGTTGCATGTGTATTCCTAATAAAGGCAACTGATATTCTCACTTCTTTTGGGTGCATCAAATTATGATAATCGATGGGGATGACCTTTTTTGGTGATATGCACATATGGCATAAGACGATCGTATCATGTTGTTATTGCGTGTGAAATTCTAAGGAAGGCAACCTAGATCCTCTCTTCTTTTCAATGCAACGGTATATGAGGATCTACTAGATGGCTTTTTTTGGTGATTGACACGTGTATCATAGGATGATCGTCCCTCGTGGGTTAAATGCAACCAAGAACTCATTTTTTTGAAGGTTCATTGTCTCCTTATAGTGATAGATGGTGGGTTGATGTAGTTACTTATCTGAGACCACACACTCACATTTCTTTATGGTTTTAGTTTGATATGGTTTTTGTTTAATTGAGTTCTCTTGTGGTTATATAAAACTTAATTTAATTTTCTGATCTGACAAACGATTTCTCTTTTTTTTTATCTCTGTAGCAACATGAGCTCTAGGATTTCATGGACCTTCTGAATTGTGTTGTATTACTGTGGACTACCGGCACATCATGTCAACCTCACAGCAGTGGGTGTTTTAGCGCGATGTGGTTTTTTCCGTTGCCCCAACACTCCGACATATTCCACTGCCGACAGTGATCGGGGTACAATGCTTTCCCATGAGGACAATGCAGCTGATGACAAACGTCGTGAGAGTTGAAAATTAAACATTTTAATATTTTTAATTATAGTTGTAATTATATTTATTTTTATTTTATTTCTTTTTATACTCACCAGAAAGTGAGGACTTTATGTTGTTTTTTTGAACTGATCTGTAATAATTTGCAACTTCTGTTTTATCTATTATTTTGCTCATACAGTTCTATTGCAAGCAACATCGTTAAACAGGGGCATAATATTCATTTATCCATCAACAGCTCCAAATAATCTGTTCTGGATAAATTCCCCCAAACAACACGACATCTTATCCTAATAATCTGCGGATTATCAGATTGTCAGGATAACCTGCTTATAAGCAGATTATAAATAATCCACAGCTACCCCAAACAAAACCTAAAATATTTTTTTCTGTAAAAGTAGGTTTTAAAAGCTGAAACAAACATGTCATACAACATTTGTTGTCATCAATTTAGGCGTGCAGATGTATACTTCCCATTTAAAAACATAAAAACCCTTTATAATATTGATATAAAGTTAAATTTTTAAATGCTATACATATAAATATAAAACTTTAAATGTTATATATGTAAATATTAAAGAAAAAATGTACGGTATGTATGTAAATTCAAACTTAAATTAACCATTTAATCCTCAACCTCACCGACCGCACTGCACTGCACCGCACGTAGCTTGATTATAGGAATTAGAAAATTCGCCAACTGTTGCTTCTGAATTGATTAATACCATATGGATTAATTTTTTTATAAAACATATATAGAGCTTTCTCTAGTATTTATTAACAAACTTTAATGAGTAATATTGGTTAGATTAGAATAGAAGGAAAATCATTAAATGCAATTTATTTATTTTTTAACTGAAGCTTAAGCTTGAATTTCAAATAAACTAATTAATCAAATCAATGATTAGAAGAGCAAATCAAAGTTCCACGGCTAAGAGTTTGGCTGAAAAACTATCAATATAATTTGTGAATTTATTTGTTTCGATTTAAATTATTTTATTTCACAATTTTGATTTTCAAGATAGTTTAAAAGATTTTTTTTTTCAAATATAACTAATAAATCTATCAAAATTATAAATTTATGCGGTGTTTAGTTGCAATATAGATTTACGTTAAATAAGCTTTATCAAATTCAGTAAATTCGATGACTGTGGATGGAGGTGAATTCTGCGAGCGATGATAAAATAAATTTGTAATCTGTCTCTCAAAAGAATTCATTAAATCCAAATTTACGTTGTAACTGAGATGAAACTCGTTAAAATTTCATTTAATGGAGTGACCAATTTAATTTTTATTTTTTAAAAAATTTAATTGAATTCAAGTTAAATTCATGACTACATCTAATTAATAAAATATTTAGAATGTTATCGAACACCGCCTTAAAATAAATCCAGTGATCACAAATGTAGGCATCAAAATTGAATCAAAACAAAATTAAGCAGAAATTAGTGAATTTTTTATTCAATTTATTCTTTTATGAGTGTTCTTTTGACTTCTTGCTTAAAAAACTGGCGGTCCACAAAGTATTTCTCCATTTTGGAAAGCAAATGATGTGAAACTCCTCCAGCCTTTGTGGAGTCCTCTCTTCTTACAAAACCCTGAAATCACCATCTCCTTGTCTCCCCCTCTGTGAAACGAAAGTGAATGTAGGAGCGAGTGAGTCCCATATCCAAATCCTTTTACCCCTTTTTTCATTCCGTCTATATCAAATTTCAATCTTTTTAAGATTCAAGGCTAAAAAACGCCATCTTTTTGCATTTCAATCTGTTCTATTACCTAATCGAAATAATTGACAGTCAATAATGCAGAATGGTAGATGGAGCCATATAAAGCATTCTCCTTTCCGTGATTCTCTTTCTTTCTTTTATGACATTCTGATGAACTTCTATTTTGGGTTGAATAGGATCAAAAAGGAAGTTGTGGGCCTATTTGGGAGAAGAGGAAGACAAAGCTTTCATCCACTTTGGATTGCTTTCGTCTGGTTTAAGCATAGTGGTTGGGATTGGATGTTATCGTTAGGGAAAAGGGGTATAAAAACCAGATTACCAACTAGAACTGAAGTAGAAGAGAAGAAATGTGATTGCTTTCGGCTTCGATGTGACTAAATGGCGATTCTGTAGAAGAAAGTGATTTTTTAACCAAATTTGCCATTTTGTTGGGTTTGATTGGTTGTTTGGGATTAGTTTATTAATTAGAAGAAAAGACAATTTTGATCACCTTCTGTCATTCTGTCTGTTTCAGCCTCTCCTCCATAACTCCTTTCAATCCTTATTTCATCTCGTTGGTTCATCTCTGTCTTTTTTCATGCAGGTTTTGCTGTTGGGACATAGACACAGTGAGGAAATGCAGGCAAACAAATCCAGGTATTATTTTGTTATCCTTAAACAATTTCCGTGCTCTCTTTTGATTTTTATGCACATGAGGTGTTTGACATGAAACCTTTGAAGTTTGATGTTTCTGTGGACATGATTGCTGTACATCATTATTGCTTTTTTTGTTTTTTATATATAATATCTTCAATCTTTTTGTTTCTCAGCTTTGTGAACTGTCTTCTTCTTTTGATATATTTTAGGAAGATATTGCTTTTATTTTGTGCTTTAAAGACTTCTGGAGGTTGGACATCTTGTGGTTGTCACTCTTTGTTCTCGCCTGCTCCATTATTTTAATTTTTGGGACTTCATATGCTCTCAATCTTCTTTCTAATTCTCTTTCTTTGTGCCTTTTTTGCTTGTCAGCTTTGTATTTTTGCTGTTTTTTTTTTATATTTGGTTGCCATGTGGCCTAATTATGTCAAGGTTTTTCTGTCGATTTTGCTTTTGCTCTGTGGTTTATTCAAAAAAGTTGGCAGTAAGATGACTGCTTTTACTATGAAACCAGCTGGCTTTGATAGTTTAAAATATTTGTACTCTCAAACTTTAGAACCTAAATTTATGTAACTATTGCTGAAAATGGACGCCTTTTTGGTATATTTCTTGAACTAAATAATATATTTAAAAATGTAAATATAACCTCATTTTGATTAACTTACTATGTGGAGAGTTGAGTGCATCTAGTCATCACTATTTTATTAGGATAATAGTAAAAATTCAAGCAAAAATTAAATGAAGAAAAGAGAACAAATAAACCGGTGATCACAAATTGGAGGCCCAAGTTTGTGTGGTTTGATGAGATTCACATATAACCACGACTGCCAATTGATCAAATATTCTACTAAGTTTTTAAAGAGAATGCATGAATTGCATTTTTCTTCGCTCAAAGTTTAAGATGAAAACGGAGATTGATTTTTCTTCACACGAAGTTGAAGATGAAGAAAGTATTACTACTTTATTTTAATTAAATGAAGAGGAGAACAAGATGTTGAGAAAAAGATGTCATTGCTATTATTCTCTTTATTTTTTTGTTGCAGCGATCCAAATGAGTGCTTTTTGCTATGGCCTAACTTTTCTACTTTTGATGGAATGAAAACTAGAAGCATCTCTTTCTTCTTGAAAATTCAGGTGTCTCCCTCGTATAGTTACTTGAAAAAAAATCTCCCTTTGTTCTCCCACTCTTCCACTTTCCCTCTCTTCTCTCTTTTTTCTGTAGTTGTCGGATGTCAAACCCTTCTTTCTTTATAGCGGTAACAAGGCATAAGTTACGCGAAATAAAATAAACTATCTTATTTAAAAAAATTTCTTAAAGTTGATAAAAATTTTCATAACCCAAAAAAAATTATCTCTTCAAAAATCTCTGTCCAATATTAAAAAAAAAGGAAATTTCCATATATCTTATTAAATTTATGGAGAATTCCGATTCCATAATTTTAACATCTTTTAACCCTGCCTGCTCCATACCTTACTAGCTTATTGTTTGCAACATAGTCTGTCATTTTGTAATCTTTTTTGTGAATCTTCACAACACTATTGCACTTACTCTATCACACTTAAAATTGCTCGCATCAGCCTTAATATAAGAGAACTTGCTATCAAGTTTGGATCTCATAGAATTTTGATTGTTCATAAGAGTGTGCACAACATAAGATGACCATAATTAAGAATGATCTTTGAGTTAGTTTAACTATCAAACCAAATACAAGCTCAAGCTGAATTTGTCTAAGTTCAATGCTCTTATTCTATGAAGCATGGATGTTTGTGAATGGCCTCTATATCTATATTGGACACCAACAAAGTTTCAACATGCCCCGGCACGTGTCCAATAAGTCACAAACTTTGTCAGGAATTTTTTATTGTAAAATTGGGCTTCAACATGGCATAGACACAATGGGATATAACGAGGACACGCAGAATGCAGATCAATGCTTTTGTGATTTTTTTTTTTTTTGAACAACTACATACCTAATACTTGAAACATTGCTATTTACAAATCCAGTAGCCTCTTTTAACTATTTTTAAAATATTCACTCAAATATCAAAATTCAGTATAAAATTCCAACCCGTATTTTTCTTTTTTATCAAATTATCAACAGTTTGAACATGATACGAGTAAATGCACCGGTTTAGTAGTTCAAAAAAAAAAAATTGGGAGCTACTTCTATAAGTAGCAAAGTCTTGAGTGTTATTTACGTAATTAGCTCTTTATTTTAATTAATCGGGTTTAGGACCTTTTATTCTTAGAAAATTTTTTTAATGATATTAAATTTCATCCTGTGATGTTTCCAACATAAAATAAAAGGAAATTATTTATTTCAAATTATTAACTTATTAAATTGAAAATTTTTTCCATGATGTATTATGTCTTACTTTTTGCCATTATATAGAGTCATCTTGTCCTTGTCATATTGTATCATATCTGTGTTTGTGCTTCAAAGCTTTTTTCAGGTTGAGTTTCTTCATTGTCAAACCAAACACAAATAAAAAGCCAAGTTAATGCTTATTAAATGCATTAACATTTTGTGTTTCATAGCTAACTGTAAAGAAAAAGTTCGGTGCTTTCATAAAGCAATATCTTTTCAGTGTGTAGATTTTAAAGCACGCTCATGATTTCGGAGCACAATGACTTATAAATATAAAATACATGATTAAAAATAAAATTTACATAAACATACATTTATAAATGTGTAAATTTATACATATATATTTATATTCCGAGCTTTCAGAGAACCGTGCATAATTGAGCTAGCTCTTGTTTGAGTCCAACTTGTTTAGGGATTGAATTGATAAATCTTGATCATGAACGACTTAACATCTTAAGGACTTTGCCTAACATGGGTTTTTCACAAACATGAGCTTAATTGAGAGTCTTAGTTGTTGTTGCTGTTTTTTTTGTCTTTATCTTATAAAAATGGACCACAAAATGAATTTAAAGTTTGAAAATCTGAATAGTATCTTATCTTGAGCTTTAAATTTTGTGATATACATATGTCATCTTCATTATTATAACTGTGCAATCAAAGAAAATGGTTGTTTCTTATGAAATTCTAGATAAATCTTCTGAGCATGTGCATAAATATCACACAATTCTTATGTATTTACATATCTAACACCTAAACATTCATATTTACATGCATAACACTCAAATCCTTAACATCACATCAAAATACCAATATCACTACCTTTTTAAAAGTGAAATACACCTTCTAATGCAATGTTTTATAACAATAAGGTGTTATAAGTGAAAATGTCGAACTTCGAGCGTTAGATATGCAAGCACGGAAGGCATTTATCTCAAGAATGTATGGACTCATATCTCTACTACTGTGCTTTCATTCAGCAGAGCTGCAAAACCTTCCCACAGGATATCCTCAGCAACCACTAGACCTCAAAGTTTAAGCAAGGCAATTGGAGCAGATGCTAACTCTACTGAAGGCATTAATCACCAGTCACGGAAGTTCTCATCTTACAGAAGCCAAAAAGAAAATGAGCAGAAATCAGACTATTATAATTCAGTTTTTCAAGTATGTTCCACATTTATTAATTTCTTTTTTCAACCAATATGGTTTTTATTGTCAATAGTTTGTCAAGTTTAGTATCTGTTCACAAAGTCTATGTTACCTTTTTTCTATTATTCTTACTTCATAATTGTTTGAGGCTAATTTTATCTACCAATTTTATTTTCATTTAACATATTCAAATCACCTTAGTCTATTTTTCATCACTTACCTATCATTTGTTGTTTTATAATTTCTGATTCTGTCACATATTCATTATAACATTCACATTTACATATCAAACCGTTTGTCTGAAGTGACTTTTTTCACTAACCTACTCTCAAAATTTATACAACATTCTCAAACTCATTTGTAACAATCTTAAAATGCAGTTATTTAAAAAGTTTATTACATTTTTATCCTCTTCATTAGCTTTCTAACCACAAAATTATGGAATTAAACGTTTTTCTAAAACTGAAATGATTGTAATCTTTTCTGCTTTCTAGAAGAGTCTTCCAAGCCAGTTTACCGATCTAGAATCTCGGCTTGGAGAACTCCAAGAGGAGCTGAAAAGAACAAAGGACCAGCTTTCTTTATCTGAATCAAGTAGAAAGAGAGCCCAACAGGAAGCTGAAGAGGCCAAGAAGCAAATTTTAATATTTTCTTCTAAGCTTGAGGAGTCTCAGCACCAACTTATAGAGCTTTCAGCAGCTGAAGATGATAGAATACAAGAGCTTCGCAAGCTTTCTCAGCAAAGAGATAAGGCATGGCAGTCAGAGCTGGCAGCTCTCCAAAACCAGCAGTCAATAGATATGGCAGCTTGGAGCTCCGCCATTAAAGAGAGACAGAAACTCAAATCAGAGATTGAGATGTTTGTCAAGTCTGAGGCTGCCATGGCCGAACAACTCGAAAGCACGAATTCTGAACTGTGTGCCGTAAAAGAAGATATCTTGGAGAAAAATTCTGCCATAGAGAGGCTAAAATTTCAAATTGCAGAGACAAAAAGTGCTGAAGTCAAGGCAACAGAAAGCTTAAATGAAGCCTTGCTTCAGCTAGATATGTCTAAAGCTAGAGTAAATGAACTTGAAGCCATGGTGAAGAAATTACAAGCAAATCAACGTTTTGAGCAAGAGGAAGAAAAGCTGAAGAACAATCTGCTTCCACCTTCTGCTAGTGAATTAATGGAGAAATTAGAAACTTTATCTAGTGAAGGAGAATCTAAACTAGAATCTGAGCTGAAAGAAGCCAAGGCTGAGATTGCCAACTTGAAATCAGAACTTATAAATAAGGATGAAGGTCTCCAAAACCTGCAATCAATAGATATGGCAGCTTGGAACTCCGCCATTAAAGAGGGACAGAAACTCAAATCTGAGTTTGAGATGTTTGTCAAGTCGGAGGCTGCCATGGCCAAACAACTCGATAGCACGAATTCTGAACTGCAGGCTGTAAAAGATGAAATCTTGGAAAAAAATTCTGCCATAGAGAGGCTTAAAATTCAAATTGCAGAAAGAAAAAGTGCTGAAGATAAGGCAACAAAAAGTTTCAATGAGGCTTTGCTACAGCTAGAGATGTCTAAGTCTAGAGTAAATGAACTTGAAGACAAGGTCAAAAAATTACAAGCAAATCAAAATTTTGAGCAAAAGGAAGAACAGCTGAAGAACAATGTGCTTCCACTTTCTGTTAATGAATTACTGGAGAAATTAGAAACTTTATCTAGTGAAGGAGAATCTAAACTAGAATCTGAGCTGAAGGAAGCAAAGGCTGAAATTGCCAACTTGGAATCAAAACTTACACATAAGGATGAAGATCTCAGAAGCATATCACACATGAATAAAAAGTTGAATGATGAGATAAGGGCAAGGGTGAACCAAGTAGAAGCTGAATTCAGTTCAAAGATCACACAAGCAGCCGTGGATATCTCAGAATTGAAAGCCAGACTTTCAGACAAGGAGGTTGAGATCCAGAAACTGTCAGATGAGAACAATCTGATCAAAATGGAGACGGGGAAGAAAGAGATGAAAGAGATGGAAGGCATTAAGAGTTATGAGGCTGAAATGGAGGCTGAGCTGAGGAGGGTGAAGCAGCATTCAGATCAATGGAGGAAGGCTGCTGAAACTGCTGCTGCTATTCTCATGGCTGAAAGCCATGGAAGGATTGTTGAGAGAACTGGTTCAGTTGATCCACAATCTTTTTATGATGGAAGAAACTTGATGCGTTCACCAATTTTAGATGAAATTGGTGAAACATCAAGGAGCAAGAATCACAATGTGCTGACGATGATTGGTGGGTTTTGGAAAAAGAGCTAGTTAGCACCTCATGCCTTCAATTTTTTGGGATAATTACATACAAACCACCCAAAATATTGATATTTGCAAATTAAGCACCGAGGTGATTTTTTTGAGCTACTAAACCTATATATTTACGTCTGTCATGATCAAACTATTGAGAATTTGATAAAAATGAAAAATATGGCATGGAGTTTTACCATGAATTTTGATATTTGAGTGAGAATTTGAAAAATGGATGAAAAAGGATGGTTGATTTGTAAATAGCAAGTTTTGTGTGGTATGTATGTAATTGCCCCGAAATTTTTAGTATTTTGTATGTTATGGTTAGCCTTGTTTAAATGCGGAATAATTGCCATTGTTGTAGGAAAATGAAAAGAGTATACATATTCTCATATTTTTAGCTGTTGTTGGAATTTTTTGTCATTGTAGAATAAATTATATATATATATATATATATATATATCTTATATATATATATATATATCAAAAGGCCCATAGGGAGTCCAAGAGAACAATCTGTAACGTTAAAAATTCTGCTTTTAGTAATCTTTATATGAGATCAGATACTAAGAAGGGTGAAAAATATATGTATAAATTAGCCAAGTAAAGAGAAAAGATAAGTCAAGATTTAACTCAAGTAAAGTGTATTAAAAATGAAAATAAAAAAGAAAAGTGTTTTTCTTAGAAAAAAATATTCAAAATAGGTGGATGAGTTATTTTGATAAACTTTTTAATGAAGTTTGAGAAAATACAATCGATTAACATCATTAATAACAATAAATTATTTAATTTGTCACTGTCGCATTAGTAAAAAGGAAGTTGAGGAGGCTTTAAAGGCAACCAAGGGTGGAAAGTCGGTAGGACTTGATGATATCCCAATTGAAGTGTGGAAATATTTAGAAGATTTTGGAGTTTATTGGCTTACTAAACTCCTTAATATTATTTTAAAAACTAAAAAGATACCTGAGGAGTGGAGGAAGAGTATTTTGGTCCCCATTTTTAAGAACAGAGGGGATGCACAAGAGTTTGCAAATTATAGAGCAATTAAGTTGATTTATCATATTTTAAAATTATGGGAAAGGGTACTTGAACATAGGTTAAGACGTATTACAAAAATTTCTCATAATCAATTTGGATTTATGCTAGGCAGGTTTACTATGGAAGTTATACATTTATTGAGAGGTTTGATGGAGAAGTTCTGAGATAAGAAGGAGGATCTACATATGATTTTTATTGATTTAGAAAAAGCTTACATCGAGTTCCAAGATATATCCTTTGGAGAGTTCTTGAGAAAAAAAGTGTTGATATGACTTATATTCTAGTCATTAATAGTCATTAAAGATATTAAAGATATGTATACAAGAGTTGTTACTTGTGTTCGAACAGAAGGAGGATTGACAAGTATTTTCCTATTTCTGTTGGTTTACATTAGAGATTGGCTTTAAGCCCATATCCTTTTGCTTTAGTTATGGATGGTATTATTGGACACTTATAGAAGGATGTGCCTTGGTGTATGTTTTTTGTTGATTATATGCTTCTCGTGGATAAGATGAGAGAAAAAGCTAAGAAAAAATTTGAATTATGGAGGTCTACCTTGTTGATGATATGCTCATCGAGCCGCTATTTCTATGAGAGCTTTCATCATCTGAAATTTTAGCTCTTGGATCTGTCATTGGATAAACTCTCTAATGCATTACATGTAAGTGATGTCTTTGTTGTGAGCTTCTTCTCCTTGTGTTACTCCTCTTTTTGTCGCTAGCATGATCCACACTTACTGCACCGTTTAGGATATTGAATCTAAATTTGTTCGTGAATCACACCCAATGGGTAGAGTGTGAGACAGAAGGGAGGGAGGGGGCGAGAGAAAGAGAGAGACACAGAGAGAGAGAGAGAGATAATGATGAAAAATGATTTGAGAGAGGTGTAGGTAAACCTTCTATATTCTTCAGGTTGATCCAACTATCCTCTGACTCGGTTGGCCAAATTTAGTTAGCCTTGGTTCATTGAAACCAATGGAACTGGAGTTGTAGGTAAACCTTCTGTATTCTTCAGGTTGATCGAACATGAATTAGACGGTCATACTAATCTGGTTGTCAACCATTGATCAAAGGACATGAAGCTCCTATCGGTGGAATAAGACTAGGCTTTCGGGCAAAGAGTAAATTACTCTAATTCAATAGGTAGCTCACTTCTCAACAATAGAGATCCTTTAGGATGTTCTGCTGAGTGCGTTGTGCCCAATTCTCAACTCAAAGTGAGAAAATATGGGAGTATTCTGTGAGATGGCTGACGATGTTAAATTATTTCCTTGAATTGGATCATGGCAAGAGATAGATTGATGCTTCCACTTTGTTTGGTAGACTTTGGACTTTGGTTTGGTCGACCTTCAACCCTAGCTAAAGATGGGGTTACATCTAATTGGATAACTCTTTCGGTATTTTGCAAGTGGATGATTAATCTTCTTATGTCGGACCCTTAGTTTTCTGCTGAGGGACCTTTGGTCTTCCGACATGGGCCATTCGTTTTCCGCTCGAGGTCCCCATTGTACTATACTTCTTTATATCTTCTATTCATTGGATTTTCTCGATATTCATCAAAGCATTTATCCGATGTTCACACTCCAATAAAAAAATATTAAAAATAAAAGACATTTACATAAATATTCATTTATGTACATAAAACTCAAAACTTTAGAATTACATCAAATATATCACTATTTTTATGTTTTTAAAAGTGAACTAACACCTCTTCATGCATTGGTTAATGAAATTAAATTGCTATAGATCTAAGCATTAAACTTTAAGGGTTAAATAAATAAAAATTATGTGTTATATATATAAATTTTCTTAAATACAATAATGAAGATTAGAAAAATGCACTTATTACAAACACCCACACCTATATATATATACATACATATATACATATATATATATAAGAATATTCTGATTGAAAATAAAGCTGAATGCACACAATTACCAGTAATTTAAACAAACAATACCATAGAATTTTGTATATCTTTTCATTCCACAACATTATATTAAGATATCTTGAATAATTTTTTTTATCTCATGCTCAACACTTGTTTCTGAATTCCAAAAACCCCAACAGTTCCCCAAACTTCACAACCATCCTTTCCCATAGCCAGCCATCTTTGGCGGGCCTGAGAGCCTCCTTCCACCTGAAGCTAACATCAATGGCTTCTTCGCCTTAGGTTTGCCATTCTGCGGCACCTGGAACCGCGACTTAGTCATCTTCCTCTCAACATCTCCAAAACAAAGCGAGCTCCCAATGCTGTGCCTTCTCCTATGTTGTTCCGTCTGAAAGCCCAACAAGCGTCGCATATCATCATTTGACGCAACTGAGGAGGGCGTGGAAGGCGCATGTCGGCTGAATACTCGAGATGAAGTTGCTTTGTAATTTAAGCCTCTGGGGCGATAATCTTTGCCGGAGATGAAGAAGGTTTGGCTGAGCTCCCATGGCCTGGTGGACATCCAGCGCTCAGGCCAGCTCCAGCACCACTGTTGCTTGGGATCTATGAAAGCTGGTTTCTTAGACCTGGAAGAATTGCTCCTCCACTGATTTGGAAGGAATCAAGGTATGATTTTTAATCAGTACTTTTGGTATAGAAAAATGTAAATTGTTTGTGTAAACCTATTGATTTTGTCTGCTTAGATGTAATTGATAAAGGATCATATCACCTGATGCGAGTAGGCGTAGGCTAGTGTTCTTTCTCTTCTTATAGCAGCCTCTTCTTTCTTCTGTAGTTTAGCTTCAAATTGTTCCTTTGAGTGCGGACTATCAACCCAATCCTCTGCCAACTGTGTTGATGCCAGAATATTTGTTATATACTGATTGAAATATGCAACAAGAATTAGAGGTGAGAAAGAGAGAGAGAGAGAGAGCATAAATGGAAGCACTTGTCTCTGATCAGTTTAAGGACTTGCTCTGATCAGTTTGAGTAGGAAAATGTGATTAAAGCCTATTTAGTTTCATGCATTTAAATCAAAATTATTTCGGACTAAATCTCTGACAAGGACTACCTACAGCCCAGACGACCCTCAGTCTGGATAACCTAAGCATGGTAAATCTTCACAACCATCATTTGTTTCTGAATTCCAAAAACCCCAACAGTTCCCCAAACTTCACAACCATCCTTTCCAAAAGCCAGCCATCTTTGGCGGGCCTGGGGGCCTCCTTCCACCTGAAGCTAACATCAATGGCTTCTTCGCCTTAGGTTTGTTGAGGTAGAGCCCGGTTCAAAAAATAAATAAAAAAAAGAGGAGAAAAGTAACTGTTCCCGCCTCCCATTCTTTGAAAAAAGGCGTGACTTTTGCTTTAGATTATCTTTTCTCTGATTGACCATCTTCTTTGAGACCAAAAAAACTCCAAAAGACTACCTCACGAATTCAGTTCCTGTGCAGGGATTACAGAAAACTACTACAGGCGAGGCGGTTTTAAAGGCTTCTTCTTTACAGGCAGACTGCTTTTGTTTTCTTTCTTCTGTTCGCAGCATTTGGGAGGCAACAAGTGGTAGAAGAAAAAGGCTTTTCTTCTTCACGTGACCGAACCAAGAGCAGAAGAAAGTATCGCATGCTACTATTTCTACCTTGTTATTTCGGTGTTCTGCTTACGGGAAAGAGAATCACAAGGTGTCTCTCTCTTAGTTGTTTCTGCGTGCTTGGCAGAAGGAAGAAGAAGATAGCAGAAGAAGAAGTTCGCTCTCCTTGATTTCTTCTTGGTAGGTTGCGCAACAAGAGAAACGGATTTTCTCTTATACATATTTCTTCTTCTTCGGTGTTCTTGCTCTTGGGTGAATCTCAGTGTAAAAAGAGAGAGCAAGTGAGATCCTGTAATTGTCGACGTGATCAAACGGTGTAATTTCCTCAATTAGTAAAATCCTCTGAAACTTCGTGGATGTAGGCTATTTGTCGAACCACGTAAATCTGTGTGTTCTTTTTTGGTGTGATTTTTCTCGTTCTATTTTTTCACTTCGTCATCGATCGTTTTAAATTTCATATATTAAATTTCATATATCAGAGTTTTGTTCTGATCTGAGAAAGAACAATGGCTGTAGAAGAAGTGAAGGTTTCAGGGATCGAGAAGTTCGATGACACAGATTTTGGTTATTGGAGTATGCAGATAGAGGATTACTGGATTACTTCTATGGGAAGAAACTTACTTCTATGGGAAGAAACTTCATCTTCCGTTATTGGGGAAGAGACATGAAAGAATGTATGAAACTGAATGAAATATGTTAGATCGACAAGTTATGGGGGTTATTCGATTGACCCTATCGAGGTCCGTTGCACATAACGTCGTCAAGGAGAGGACGATTGCAGATCTTATGACAGCCCTAACAGATATGTATGAAAAGTCATCGGCGAATAATAAGGTATATCTGATGAAGAAGTTATTCAATTTGAAGATGGCGGAATGTACGTTTGTTGTACAACACCTGAATGATTTAAATAGTATCATAAAATCAATTATCGTCAGCGGAAATTGAATTTGATGATGAGATACGTGCATTGATCTTGTTGGCTTTATTGCTAAATAACTGAGAAGTATGAGGATCGCTGTCAGTAATTCTGCAGGCAAATTTAAACTGAAATTTGAAGATATTTGTGATTTGATTTTGGCTGAGGAGGTGCGCAAGAGAGATTCTGGCGAGATCTCAGGTTCGAGTTCAACATTAAATGTTGATTCCAGAGGGAGATCACTTGACATGAACTCAAACAGGGGAAGATCAAAATCAAAGAAAAAAAGCAAGAGCAAGTCAAGGCCTGGTAAACAAGTAACTTGTTGGAATTGTGGCAAAACTGGCCACATAAGGAGGAACTGCTAGAATCCTAAGAAGAAGGAGAATGACAGTGCGAATGTGGTAACTGAAGAATCACAGGATGCACTACTGCTGGCAGTTCATAGTCTTGTTGATGACTGTATACTGAATTCAGGAGCTTCTTTTCATACAACTTTCCATCGGGAATTGATGCGGAATTATGTTGCATGTGACTTTGGGAAAGTATATATGTCTGATGGAGAAGCTCTGAACGTGGTAAGAATGAGAGATATTGACATTACACTTCCAAACAAGAACAAGCGGACTCTGCAAAAGGTCAGACACATTCCTAAACTGAAGAAGCTCATTTCTGTTGGGCATCTTGATGAGTGTGGACATTCAGTAGGGTTCTCAGATAGCACCTGGAAGGTTACCAAAGGAGCACTAGTATTGGCTCGCGGTAAGAAAACAGGTACGTTGTATACGACTACTAGTTTAATTAACAGTGTTGATACTACTGTTGCAAAAAACACAGTAGAGTTGTGGCATTGCAAACTTGGCCACATGAGTCAGAGAGGTATGAAGGAACTTCGGTCCAGAGGCAAGCTTCCAGAACTGAAGTCTGTTGATATCGGCATTTGTGAGAGTTGCATTACGGGAAAGCAGATGAATGTCAGTTTTTTGAAAGGTGGCAGGACGCCAAAGGCAGGAAAGTTGGATCTTGTACACATAGATGTGTGGGGACCTTCTCCAGTGGCATCTCTTGGAGGCTCTCGTTACTACGTCACATTCATTGATGATCATAGCAGAAAGGTATGAGTTTATTTCTTGAAGTATAAATCTGATGTATTTAGTGTGTTCAAGACTTGGAAGGTCATAATTGAGACAGAGATATGCTTAAAGTTGAAATGTCTTAGGTTTGATAATGGTGGTGAGTACATTGATGGTGGGTTCAAGGAGTACTGTGCAGCTCATGGCATCAGAATGAAAAAGACCACTCCAGGGACACCACAACAAAATGGTGTTGCAGCGCGCATGAACAAGACCATTAATGAGCGGGCTAGAAGCATGAGATTGTACGTCGGACTACCACCTACTTCTGGGCAGAAGCTGTCAGTACTGCAGTTTATTTGATCAACAGGGGGTCATCTGTTCCATTAGACTGTGAATTACCTGAAGAAGTCTGGAGTGGGAAAGATGTCAAATTTTCTCACCTTAAGACTTTTTTATCGTCTTTCTTATATTCTCTTTAATCCCGATGCTCGAAGTAAGCTTAAGGCTAAGTCAAAGATGTGTTATTTCATTGGCTATGGAGATGAGACATTTGGATATAGTTTTTTGGATGATCAGGGTCGGAAGATCATAAGGAGCAGGAATGTGATTTTCAATGAGAATGACAAGGACAAGTCCAGTACAGTTTCTGAAACAACACTGAAGGAATCTGAGTTGGTAAGATTTGATGATTTATCAGAGGTCACAGTGCAGGACAGAGATGCAGGTGACGAGGAGAGTGGATTCGGGGCATCCACTTTTATTGTTCCACAATCAGTTTTAGAGGAGTCTAACCCTACATGTGCAGTTCGTAGGTCAGAAAGAGCTAGACATTCTCTACAGCGTTATTCTCCAACTTTAAACTACATTCTGCTGACAGATGGTGGAGAACCTTAGAGTTATGAAGAAATCTTGCAAGATGAAAATTCGAGCAAGTGGGAGCTAGCCATGAAGGAGGAGATGAATTCTCTTTATCAGACTTGAGAGTTGACAGATCTTCCATATGAGAAGAAAACATTACACAACAAATGGGTGTACCGGGTGAAGACTGAGCATGATGTCGGAAAGAGGTATAACGCTAGACTTGTTGTAAAGGGTTTTCAGCAGAAGCACGGTATTGATTATTCCAAGATTTTCTCTCCTGTGGTGAAGCTTACAACCATCAGAATGGTACTGTCTATGGTGGCTACTGAAGATCTCTTACTTAAGCAGTTAGATGTAAAAACAGCTTTTCTTCATGGGGACCTTGAAGAAGACATCTACATGCACCAACCCTAAGGGTTCGTGGTACAGGGAAAGGAAGAGTTAGTTTGCAAATTGAAGAAGAGCTTGTATGGCCTGAAGCAAGCTCCTAAACAATGGTACAAAAAATTGATAATTTCATATACAGTGCAGGGTACAGTAGATTTCAAGCAGATCACTGTTGCTATGTCAGGTATTTTGACAATTCTTATATCATCCTACTACTGTATATGGATGATATGCTTATTGCAGGTGCTAGTATTGAGGAGATCAATAATCTGAAGGAGCAGATGTTAGAGCACTTTGCAATGAAGGATTTGGGAGCTGCAAAGCAAATCCTTGGTATGAGAATTGTCAGAGATAGAGTCAGAGGCATGTTGAGACTCTCTCAGGCTGAGTATATGAAAAAGGTACTTAGTAGGTTCAACATGGATAAGACCAAACTAGTTGGCACACCCTTGGGAAGTCACTTCAGACTCAGCAAGAATCAGTCACCCAAGTCAGAGGAGGAACGAGATCACATGAGTAAGGTTTCTTATGCTTCAGCTATTGGTTCACTTATGTATGCTATGGTTTGCACCAGACCGGATATTGCCCATGCAGTGGGAGTTGTTAGCAGATACATGAGTAATCTTGGAAAGGAACATTGAGAAGCAGTGAAGTGGATCTTGAGTTACCTAAGAGGCTCTGCAGATTCTTGGTTGTGTTTCTCAGAAAAGAGTTCAGAGGTACAGGGCTATGTTGATGTTGATCTAGCTAGAGACATTGATACCAGAAGAAGTACTACATGTTATATTTATACTTTTGGTGGCACTGCAGTATCATAGGGATCTAATCTGCAGAAGACAGTTTCATTGTCTATTATAGAAGCTGAGTACATAGCAGTGTCAGAGGCTGCAAAAGAGATGATATGACTACAGGGCTTCTTGAAAGAATTAAGAAAGAATGATCAGAAGGGCATACCTTATAGTGATATTCAGAGTGTCATATTCCTTGCTATGAATCCAGCATTTCAGTCCAAGGCTA